CTGCTTATTACAATTTTTGCATTAAATGGCTTAAAGTAATATAATATAATATTTTCATTCCTTTTCCCAACATCAATATAAGGAAACCCTTACAATATATCAGATTAAATATAGTTCTATTTTTATCGTTCAACATGTGAACTGAAAGCGACTGTAAAGTCATATTCGAGGGACACTTGAACCACTTCCTATATCCGTCTTCCCTTTTCCTCCGCCTTTTCTTCCGTAAGTTTAATGTATGAGAAAATGTTAAGTGGAAACATTTGCCGATGATCCAAGCAGTAGACCAAGGTTCGAAAAACAACAGAAAGTCAGTAAATTATGAAGCAGAGTCACTTGATGTACATGAGGTCTCCAACTCAAGATGACCAACTTCTTCGAAGCTAAATAAAAAAACTTGAAAGAAATGAACAGCACTGCAGGCGAGGAAGCAAAAGTCCCTTTAGAGCCTGGTTACATCATCACTGTCATAATTGTAAACAGCGTAGCTTGTCCCTTGACAATTGTGTTTAACGTACTCATGATAAAAGCCGTAAAAACAAGACGACAACTCCGAACCAACTGCAACATCTTGCTGGCCTGTTTAGCGGTGACTGACGCGGTAACTGGTCTGATTGTACAGCCACTGTATGTTTTATGGAGAATTCTCCGGTTCATTGACGTCGGTGAGAGCGGGAAATGGGTTGCAAAAGGCTACAAAACTTTCTACGTGGCAGTCTTAACAGCTTCATTGCTTCATCTCGTGTTGGTTACTTTTGAAAGGCTTGTTGCGATCAAATTTACCATGCACTACTCAAGCGTTATTACTGGAAAAACCTTAAAGATAGCTGTGGGTGTGTTTTGGATCTTTGCTTTCATTTGTGGGGTTATCTGGCAGTTGAAGTACAAATTAATTAAAGATTTGGTCGGGACTCTTCTTTTAGTTTCATGTATCCTTTCCGTTACGTCAGCTACATGGTTTTGTATCGTGAAGCCCTTCGCCACCGAAAGATGATAAAAACTCATCAACTGCACCAAGAAGGAAGTGGAAAGAGTAACTAAAGAGAACAAGGCGCTGAAGACGACTGCGTTTTAATTGGTGCTATTGTTGATTGCCTTTTGCCAGCTGGTGTGTCTTCCTTCCTACGCATCTTTGGCGTGGTTCAGGGTAAGACATACGAAACTTTGCTTTCATGGATTCGAACTTTCACCATGTTAAACTCTCTTGCAAATCCGCTGATTTATTGCTGGCGAAAAAAAGGAAATGCGGAAGTCAATATTTTATTCAAGTCGCCGGGTTGCGAGTTCCGCCAATCCTATGCAATGAAAGTGAGAAGAAAAAAAGCGCTTATTAGCCTCCTAGAATGAACTGGAATATGACTGCATATAACAAGAAGTGCGTTTAATTGTATAAAAACAGTGGAGATTTGCGTACCTCAACTTGTGAATAAATAATCGGTTGTGGAATATATCCCCCAGTCTGAATTTCGGCCGCCTCTTCCCTTTAACCCAAGGGGGGCGCGGGAGAGAGACGTGCGCCCCCCTTAGGGTAGAGGGAAGAGACGAATGAAATTCAGACTATATATCCCCCAATCCCTGGCGTTCGCATCCCGGATTAATTGCTGCGCTAGCGCTCTGACAAAGAGGTAATTCTTGAAAAGTAGTCAGTTTGCATTATCAATTCATAATAAGTAGTTTCTTAGAAATCGACTTTGAAATAAAAGCTAGCGCTAAGAAGTCACGACGTTTCGACCTCTCGGAGGTCATTTTCAAGTGAGTAAGTTTTCCAAATCAGCATAAATATGTTGAAGCAAGTTGAAGACGATAAAATGTGGCGAACGCTAAAATATGTGAAAAATTGTAAACAATATACAATGGAAGAGATTAAAATAATGAAATAATCGTAGCACGAATTTTTCTAAACAAATAGTTTGGCGCGAGTCGAATCGCACTGTTTGTTTAGCGTTGGTTTCGGTTCTTTGATAAAAAAAAAAACATTTCAAAATCAAGGCAGTCAAATTTGTTCTGACACTTCTTTAAGATTTGAAAATTCTGTGTGATGTCTTTTGGCTCCAAGTTGTGCTGATCCCTGAGGTGGTGTCCGATTGCCGATCTTTTGTGTTCTTCAATTCGTTGGTGTAAGTGTCGGCACGTGTAGCCGACATAGCCTGCGTCACACAGGTCACACTAAAATGAATACACCACGCGCATTGTTGACTCACAAGAGGCGGTTTTGTCTTCCCTGACCCTAATTTCACTCTTGATCTTTTTATTTGTATAAACTGGGCTAATATCTACGTTGATCTTCCGACTGAGGTCAGCCAATTGTTTTCGTACTACATTTGCAGATTTCTGGTCCTTGTAGGGCAACACGATTCTGACTGGCGCTTCTCTTTTATCAGCCATTCGTGTATGTGAATCCCCAGACACTTTTGGTTTGAACGAATCTGCGAATGGTTGACTGCACAAGGTCGTCAGGATAGGGCAGTCGGGAGAAGATCTCTTTAAGGCGTTCACATTCCTCATGAAAAAACTTCCACGTAGACGAGAGTTAAAAAGCACGGTTTAGCATGGTGATCAGCAGTTACCACCATGTGACCACCATTGATCACCAGTGGCCACCATTATCAATTCATATATGTGCACGATCCTTCGCAGTAAAGCACTATTTGAGCAATAGTGAAAATCAGACCTGAAAAAAATTTCAGGCCTGTACGGGATTCGAACCACTGACCTCTGCGATACTAGTGCAGCGCTCTACCAATTGAGCTAACAAGCCAACTGGGAGCAGGCCATCAAATTAATTCGACATAAACCCGTAGATGATAAATCAAACAACAACAAACATATGAAACATATGTGTGAACTGCGGTTATGAGACGTATATGAGCACGATCCTTCGCAGTAAAGCACTATTTGAGCAATAGTGAAAATCAGACCTGAAAAAAATTTCAGGCCTGTACGGGATTCGAACCACTGACCTCTGCGATACTAGTGCAGCGCTCTACCAATTGAGCTAACAAGCCAACTGGGAGCAGGCCATCAAATTAATTCGACATAAACCCGTAGATGATAAATCAAACAACAACAAACATATGAAACATATGTGTGAACTGCGGTTATGAGACGTATATGAGCACGATCCTTCGCAGTAAAGCACTATTTGAGCAATAGTGAAAATCAGACCTGAAAAAAATTTCAGGCCTGTACGGGATTCGAACCACTGACCTCTGCGATACTAGTGCAGCGCTCTACCAATTGANGAGAGTCGTTTCTGTTTTCTTTTTGAGTTTCCGTCGCCGAAATTGTCCAAGAATTACGAAAGTAGTTCTAACTCAATTTTTGTTCATGCGCGGGATCAATGTGGGCAATTCCAAGCGGGCAAGATGGGCCCGTCTTAGACGCTCGGGTAGCCAGTCAGAACACAGAATTCGCTTCATCTTGCCCACGGGCGCGCGCTGCGAGCGATGTAATAAAAGGGCTTATAAGCGCGTTTTTCCTGCTCACTTTCATTGGTTGGCCGGATCCACAACCCGGTAACTTGAACAAAATATTGATTTCCTCATTTCCTTTTGTCGCCAGCAGTAAATCAGCGGATTTACAAGAGAGTTCAACATGGTGAATGTTCGAATCCATGAAGTCAAACTTGCGTATGCCTTACCCTGAACCACACCAAAGATGTGTAGGAAGGAAGACACAACAGCTGGCAAAAGGCAAACAACAATGGCACCAATTACAAACACAGTTGTCTTAAGCGCCTTGTTCTCTCTGGTGACTCTTTCCACTTCTTCTTGGGGAAGTTGATGAGTTTTTATCTTCTTTCGGTGGCGAAGGGCTTCACGATACAAAACCACGTAAGTTGACGTAACGAAAAGGATACATGAAACTAAAAGAGGAGTCCCGACCAAATGTTTAATTAATTCATACTTCAACCGCGAAATAACCCCCTGAATTAAAGAAAAAACCCAAAACACACCCACTGTTATCTTTAAGGTTTTTCCAGTAATAACGCTTGAGTAGTGCATGGTAAATTTGATCGCAACAAGCCTTTCAAAAGTAACCAACATGAGATGAAGCAACGAAGCTGTTAAGACTGCGATGTGGAAAGTTCTGTGGGCTGTTGCAACCCACTTTTCGCTCTCACCGTCGTTTATGAACTGGAGAAGTCTCCTTAAAATATACAGTGGCTGCACAATCAGACCAGTTACCGCGTCAGTCACCGCTAGACAGGCCAGCAAGATGTTGCAGTTAGTTCGGAGTTGTCGTCTTGTTTTCACAGCTTTTATCACGAGCACGTTTAGCACAACTATCAAGGGACAGGCAATGCTGTTTATAATTAGGGTTGTGATGATGTAAGTAAGCCCCAAAGGGACTTTTGCTTTGTCGCCTGGGTTCGTTTTTTTAACGTTTGTTAAATTAGCTTCGAAGAAGTTGGCCATGTTGAGCTGAAGGCCTCATGAAGTGACTCTCTTGCATAACTCACTGACTATCAGTTGTTTTTCGGACCTTGATCTACTGCTTGGATCATCGGCAAATGTTTCCACTTAACGTTTTCTCATGCATTAAACTTATGGAAGAAAAGGCGGGGAAAATTGGAAGACGGATATAGGAAGTGATTCAAGTGTACCACGAATATGACTCTACAGTTGCTTTCAGTTCACATTTACTTAACTACATTAAAGTGCAAGGTCTTACTCGTATGCTAAAGCAATCAGGTAAGAGTCACAAGTCGAAATGTTGTTGTTTAAAATTAAAACTAGTTAGTTGTTAGAACAGTTGAAATATATATCGACAGCGTTTCGTAACAGCAAAATTTTTTCATTACTCTAGGTTCAGGCCGAGGCCAACGTAAAAGATTTCTTGTAAGTCCAACTTAAAAACCTTGGCAAATCCTCTTCGCGGCGTGCCAACTGTGGTGGTTCCCATCTCTCCGGCGCTAGTAAGTACAAAATAGAAACGACTAGGGTTGAGTGACGCCGCAAAGAATGCTACAAATGATGAAAAAACTGAAGACAGCGAGAGAAGCTGAGAGATTGTATGGAAAATAGGCTTACAAAGACTTTGAAGTAGACTTCATCAATATCATATGTGATGTGAGTCAAATCAAAGTTGATAACACCAGTTCCAGTAGCCATCTTAGTATCTTGAGCACGTGACTGTTACTTCAAAAAGTCATAGCCTGCTGCCTCTTTGCATCTTTAGCTTGGATGTTTTGTTCATTTATTTATCAGCAGTGGTTGCGCACGCTAAGTATGTCTACGAGTTGTGCCGTATTTTGACGAGCCGGCAGGGGGAGTCAAAATCAGTACAAACAGTGCTAGTGAATAAACGCAAAATTTACATCTCGTAAAGGTACACTATACGCAGCCTTTACGCGCTGAAGTAAAGCCAGAGTAACGAGACTTCTTTAAGAGGCCTTCATGCACAGCATAAAATTGGTGTGAAGTAGAGATTTATGCCAGCTTTACGTACACGCATAAATATAGCCGGAGTATAAGCGTCTCTATGCTAAATTTACGCTTGGCGTAAAGTAAACTTGCGGTTATTCTTGTGTGGAGCAGCTTTATCGACTGCTCAGATTGAGAAAATCAGCTTTGTTTTATGCCATTTAAGGGAAACATAGAAGCAAAACTTATCAACAGGTTACCCACTTTTAAAGTTATTAGATTTAAAAATTATGTGTACGGAATGGGGACTGTCAATCACTCAATCCACAATCTGTTGTGTTCACAATCTTGTGTATTTGTCATAAAAGCCCTGCTCCCATGCCTGACATGTGAGTAATTTAACATTTGATCATTTCTTACCCGTAATATTTAAGATATTATTTGTAATCTTTGTTAAAGAATCATTTTTTTGAAATAATGCTACCGAACATGAAAACCTTGTTTTAATAATATCAATTTGTACAATAAATAAAAAGGCAACAAGTTAAACATTTGAAAACGCTGTTTCCATATCATCTGAGGTACGCAACTTTGAACCACTTGAAAATATAACGGAAAGATTGATAAATTGAAATTTTGTTCCAACATTGGAAAGTAGAGTCTAAAATCGAACACTAGAGTATAACATCACTGATATCGGCATTCAATCATTGCCGTAAGGTCGAACACCACTCCAGTCGTTTTGCTGCCTGCAGCCCTGGGTCCCTTTTTTTTTTTTTTAAAGTTTTCAAGACGGCTTCAATTCAGTTGGGCACGATGCACGATTTCCGTCTTTTTCCCGAGTTCGTTCTTTTATCCTCCCGAGAAGGGACAACTTTGGGGGCAAAGCGTGGGCTCATTTTCTCTAGACAGCAGCTAGTACTCTTAAGCTCTCAGCCTCGTTTTTGTGTATTTGCATGACGTCACCCGGAAACTGTGTAGTGTTCTGGAACCAGGCCTGTTTTCAAACGAAGGTATGTGGCATCTACTCAGGTACTAAAAGCCTTCCCAAAGCTTACACAAAATGTCAGGACCAAGGGGTGAAACCGTTAACAAACCATCTTCACTGCTTAAACAGTACGAAAATGACGAAATTTTTAGTATGCTGGGTCGCCGTAATGTGGTAAGTTGAAGAAAATTAGCTCCAAGAATGGCGTCGCGTTGTAACAAGTTCTTCTTTTTCCGGCCTTATTTTGATCATGACTCTTTTGCAGGCTCTAGCGACTTCCGTAGCCCAGCTATATATTGCACCGCCTGAAAATCGTAGAGTATGGAGGAAAGAAGCCACAGGAGTAATTTGTTTTGTGAAAGACAACGGGAAAAAATCGTACTTTCTTCGAATGTATAGTCTTGTGGTAAGCTCAGAACAAGTTCCTTTACAACTGCAATTTCGTTTGTATCATGTTGGCCAATGTGTCGATTTTCTTCATCGTATTGTAGACCAAGTCGTTAGAATGGGAACAGGAGCTCTACAACTCGTTCAAATACACTCCCACACGGCCTTATTTCCACACTTTCGCCGCTGATGTAAGTACAAATAATTTCGACTTTCATTCGTCTGATCTACTTTGTTTTTTAAGGTTACACTCTTAGCTTTTTACCGATTAGTACACAACTATCTATCCGTGGACAGTTACACATAACTCAAAAGGATTCGATGAGCAATTGCCTCTGTGATAAGATTTGCGAGATTTGACAACTTACATAATCAATTTCTTTATAAATCGAGTTTCCAGATGGGATAAATAAAATTGTTTATTTCATCTTTACATGCTCAATTTCTTTATACTATGATGATAATGACGAAATGCTATTTTTGAAATACGTGCTTTCGTTGGTCAGTGTAGCCACCCTTGTTAAAAAGTAGAGTTTGACAATAATAATAATAATAATAATAATAATAATAATAATAATAATAATAATAATAATTTAATATTTATAATGTGCAAATTAATATGTGGATATGATTAAATACACATCACAACACTTTTCGGGGGACTTTGACTGGACTGCATCAGCAGTTTACAAACAATCGAAGGAAACTTATTTGAAGATGCCCCCTCCCCCCCAATTCCCAGTAAACAGGCCAGACCACACCACAGTAATCTCGTGAGTGAGTTCTTTAACGTCCCCTGCCTAACCAAATTAACTAATTAATAGATGCAATTCTCCATACTGTGTGCCATACAGTTTTTATGATGTTAATTCAGAGAATTTGGTATTGAATCAGCTAATAATCCCATAATTGATATTTCATTTTATTCTCTTATTTGCCTGCTTGATATTGTACAGATGTTGTCCAGAGAAATTCTGTCATAGTCACTTGTAGGTGTTAAGGAGTTAAGGAGTTAACAGTACTTGTATGTAAATCAACTGCATAATTGAATTAAAACAATCGCAATAATTGTATTTGTAGACTCAATGTACATGTATCTTGAGATCAACAAAGAGAATGGAAGAGTTTTGACTTGTCGCCTGAAAATCTTCAAGTTCTTATTTTTTCCTTCAACTGAATTTTCTCTTCCCTTTGCTTTTGGTTATAAGAGTAATGTAATTATCAGGTTTGGAACAAAATGTGGATATTACATTTTGTTTGTGGACCAGGACAAACACAAATCACAACAATTGCATCAAATTTATTTTTGATTTCTTTCATGGAACGTACAAGTAATTTCTATAATTGTGCTGTACATTATTTTATTATTTTTAAATTTAAGATAATCACATGGTTTATGAATGATTTCAACAGGAATAAAAGTGATTAAAACTGAAACCATTGAAAGAATTAACGAATCTGATGAAGGAAGCATGCAGAATGTTGGTAAGTCACTGCAGTCAATTTTAAAAGAAGTAACTCCTCAGCAAAATGGTTCATCTCTTTAACTTTTGTAGAATTCTAATAGCAGATGCTTCCCTCAGAATACCATCTCCCCCCTCCACACATGTGCCATTGTAGACCTGACTTTATCATGACACTAGCAAGGGCTATTATGCTGTACTTTTGGAGCCCTGCTTACTTTTAAAACGGCTGAATTCTTTCACTGATGAGTGCTTCAACATTATTTTGTTCAGTTCTTGACTCAACATTTTTTCAAGCAAATAGCCTTATAGGCTAGTACATATAGAGTTTATTGATATAATTACAAAGTTAATGTGGGCCAGCTCTGAACTTAATTGTGCTTAAGAGAGTTTTTAAAATTGGAATCTCGACACACAAAGTGCTATAAGCTAATAATAAAAGAGGGAGTTAGGCCCTGCTTGCAGTACACTGAAAAATTTGGTTTATTAATTTATTAATTTTGGTTTAAAAATTAGCCGACCATACGATTCTGTCCCTTGTGAAATATTTTTCACTGAGGTAGATTTAGGTCATAAAATTTATGTTGTTTACTGGAAAATGGCATTTCATCTAAGAAAGTCTAATCGATACTGGCGAGTAAAAAGTAAACATGCAACTGTAACAGGAAAGTTTTGTTGAAACAATATTTAATTCATGGAGAACTTTGAGAAGCAAAGAAGCGGATATGTAACATAGCAGTCGACCCAGAAAGTAAAATAATGTAACTTGGTGGTTGTTTCAACCTTAGCTACAACAGCAACCATAAGGCAAAAAAAAAAAGATCATCAATCAAATATGATTTATACAAATGCCTTGTGCAAGTTTTACCAGAGTCAGCAAAACTAGCCCTTCCAAAACAACACTCTATAGCACTAAATTCGTGTTAGCCCTTTGGCTGACGGTGTGTGCGTCGTAAGTGAAGGAGCGGTACACAAAAAATGCACGTTTCAACTTGCTAATCGGTAGAAAAAGTTCTCCGATGACCTTTCAAATCCAGACAGATCATGATAAAATCCTCACGAAGGACACAAGCCATTACATTTAATAGATGATCTTACAACTCTTGTAGATGTCATCTTACCTCGTTCCTTAAGCGAAATTCAAAATTGGAATCGCTGATTAACTCTTATATAGCAATGAAATATCCTGAAGTTGCTCCTACCAACATCTGAAGTAATATTTCATTCAAAATTTTTCTCATGTTCCACTCTATCTCCTTAAAAAACAAAGAATACGCATAGTCGTACAACGATCACAATTCCACCGCTTTCCCAACACGAGTGATACATTTCATCAATTCGTGAACCGCTCTCTCCGACTTGTGCGTTGATTCACCGAAATTTGAAGACCTGTCCAACCACAAATTAGCAAGAACGCTCTGATAGGTGCGACATCGAAAAATACTACGATCTTATTGGTTTGTGATACACCAAAAAATTGGGCCAATCACATTACCTTGAGATACACCAAAAAAAGATGCACCAATCAGATTGCTTAGAGATACACCAAACAGCACTGATCAGATTACACTACACCACAATACACCAATCTATACGCTACCATATAGTTTGTTTTTTTTGTTTGTTTTTTTTTTTTAAAATAACTCAAAAATTATTATGTATGGAATACCAAATTGTACTTTACAAGTATTGAACCCAGTGAAAACCAATAACAGAAACAGGATATTTAACGGAATAGCTAAGCTTAGATATAACCTTATTATATTCAAGTTGCTTCTGTCAGTATCCCTATCCAATTCAGTGTTGTTAGCACCACCTTCGAAGTTGTTCATGAACATCCTTGATTTTTTCAGCAATTGAGATGTTCGTCTCAGCATCATAGTTGGTTGTTAAATCGGCTGTCACAGTTTTGCCAGTATTTTTGTAGTTTGAACTCACATGTGGCTCATTTGTTATCTCATGAGAACTAGCATAAACTTTGCACATTAGGGTTAGCTTTCAAGCTATAGAGCTCATTGACCGGCCTATTCTGAAAACGGTGGGCCTACCTTGAACAGTGTGTGCGTTTGTATGTGAGATGAGTGTATAAGACAGAAAATCTTTGCAAAGCGGTCTTCGCGAAGCACAGCGTTATTTTTGTAAATTGTGTTAATTGTTTACGACAGGCAAGCACATGATAACACAAGCTGTCACACTCTCATCCCAAGTTTCTGCGGTTTATGCAAGGAACGCCTGGGACCATGACCCCCCTTTTGGTGACCAGGAACGGCTTGCATTATAAGACTCGGGCTTTCCTTTGGAAGCCCAAGTAATTATGAACAAATGGCCAAATAGGTCAAATTACTACAAATGCCTCCTGATAACAGCTTTTTGCAAAGCTGAAATGTATGTTTACAAGTAAGCAACATATGAAACCGGTGGCGGTGATGGATGCCAGAAATGGAATATAAAATTATTTTAGGTGTGGATAACTTGCATCGCACTGCTCTAGTTCAGGCTTTAGTGAATTGGAAATTGCTGGGCTCAATCCTTGAAATAAACAATGTTTCACTGATTTCCCTTCCCCGTCTTTTTTTGGACAAACGTAATTCCTAAAGAGATGCGTTTGCATTTTTCACAAGGGAAGGGGAAAGAATTAACATAATTATAATTTGAGTCGGAGCTTTATTTGTCCATGCTGCAAGACTCCAGATCTTTCTTAAACTACTCTGTTTTCGAAATGGGTCCCTTAAGAGGAATAGGGAAAAAGGTGCACTGGAATTAAAACTCTTTTCGTTGTTTGGAGTGAAACCTTTCCTGTCAAGATTTGGCAATGTCACGCTGATTCTGTGAGATGTTTTTTTTGCCATTGTGATACTTATCTAACGATAAAATAGTCATTTTTTTTTCACCAAAACGGATAGACGGGATAAAAAAGAACGGTCTTTCATCGTTTCTTTCAACAACAAAAAAAAACGTGTTACACTTGTTATAATCATTTGGTGGTGACAATCGCAAAATAATGAAACAAACAACAGAATCACTAAAACAGTTGAGATTTGTGCATTTTTTCTCCTCATGAAGATGGTATAATAAACAACACATGCAAAAAAATCTCGATTACACAGCAGCTAGATTCCAAAAAAGGCTAAAAAATGCAAAATCTCAAATAGCATGTCAAACGTTAACTCGGGTAACACAACTTGTCACGGTCACGCTATTTTGTGTCTCAACAACACTCTCATTTAAAGTGCTACTGAAACGTAATTTTCATATCCGAGATTTTTGCAATATAATAGAGTTTGAACGTTACTTGCAAACGCTGTGTACTTTTTTTGGGCCAACGCATAGCGGAAAGTACATTTTTAACCATTCGAAGTTGACCGGCTGAGATCAAAATTGGCGGCCATCTTGGCACGGCCAAAACAGCCCTGTGACGTCACTGGTTGTGTACTTCTGTGAAAGAAGGGTAAAAGCATGGAGTGTGGCTTGCATGTTGGGAAGCCGAAAAAGAGGATTTCGGGCAAAATGCCATCCTCNCGCGGGAGGTTGCTAAGCAAGAAAGAAGCGTAAGAGTCGCCTGAGGCGATGAAAGAAGTGTAAGAGTCGCTCTTGGCTATCGCCTTGAGCGACTCTAGCTTCTTGTGTGCTTAGCAACCTCCTGCGTGCAACCATAACTCAATAGTGTATGGTGTGATGTTTACCATTTTTTCACTAGTGAAAACTAAATGAGACATTAGTACTGCATTGTCCATGTTATATAACTTAGACAATACACAGTTTTATGGGAAAATTGGTTACCTGACCATTACCACATGAATCACAAGCACAATTTTACACAGAATTCCAGAGTCAGGTAATGGGTTTTCCTTGACGTGTATTTTAACAAAATTAAAAAAAAAATTAGACCGCAATAATATTGTTATATCTCATTGTGAGCACAAAACCAGAGATATGAAACAATATCGCATAGCCCTCTTTTCAAGTCACAATTCCATGCTAAATACCTTGCTTTATTGCCCAATCAGAATCTGAGATTTTATTGGGTTCTGCAATTCTAAGAAATATTCAGGGTACAGCAACAATGCATCAAGCTAGAAGTCATGTAATCGATGAAACAATACTGCTATCAGTGAACTGCTTTTTTAATCTATTACTGTAATACTATGGCCACTCTGTATCATAGGGTTACAATGCTGGTCTAAATTTTGCAAAAGCTGAAGAGGCCCAAAACTTTAGCAATGTGATTGAAAAGAAGCTGAAGGAAAAGGAGCAGAGACGCCAAGGTGAAGGAATGATTAAATTAGGATAACATGTGCATACATTTGTAGAGTAATTTTATTCAAGACTGAATACTGTAAAAGCCAAGAGATAAGCCACACTTTTTTTCCAGAAGTTGTCGCTAGAAATCGGGGGTGTGGCTTATCTGCGGGAACATTAGAAAAATGTGTTGTGAATGTCCATTTTAGCATCTGATCTAATGCCTGGTTACTAAGCTTTGAATGTTCTGCTCACATTCTTGTTGTAATTTAAAAATCTATTGAAAATATGTGTTAAATGAAGAAATTCCTGTCAACAAATACCAGAAAAAGACCAATCATATGTCAAAGTTGTTAGAAATGGTGTTCACTGTATTAAAGTGCTAAAATTGTGGGTAACACTGAAGTATTTTCCATTGCAATGTTAATGATGAGTTTATGTTTGACAAATAGTGGATGAAGAAGACTTTTCAAGACTCCTCTTGGATTTCTTTTGACTTCTATCAAAAAACTTTTTTTCCAAAATTTGAGCTGCTAAATTTGGGGTGCAGTTTATCTGCAGGCTTTTACGGTACACAGTGAAGTGCTTGTAGTTATCAGTGTTACTGTTGAGAGGGGAGTTATCAATCAATCAAGTTTATTGTCTTTGAGTGAGGCATGGTTACCCAATTGCCCGAGCCAGACGCATACGTCTAAAACGTAAAACTATAAAAACTATGTACAAATAATTCTATAAATATGACGATAAGAAGATCAATTAAAGTGTTTACAAGTATGTAAATTGAATGTAATGGTAAGGAGAGAAGTATGAGAAATACATGTACATTTAAACAGTAATAACTGTAGACAAGAGCATGTTGGCCTCATGGTTGCTACAGATCAAGTGGTCCCAGTTTGAGCCCAGGCTGGGGACATTGTGTTTTAGTATCTACACACTCACCGATCTTGGTGTTTAGAGCAATCTGATCGGTTCGCTATCTTGCGCTAATCAACAATGTACACCTCCGAGTGAGTGGATAATGTGAAAAACAAAATGGCGGACATAAACTTGCATTTTGCTAAAGTTTCAGAAGCAGAAATTGCCTTTAAATGGCTTCCTTTTAATTTTGTCGAGATCACTTCGTGTGTATGTACTAAAACAATTATTATTTTCAATCTCGGTGAATAGTGGCTTTCGCGAATATTTACCTTGCGGCTTTGCGGCCTGGTAAATATTTAGCCACTATTCCCCTCAATTTCAAAGAATAATTGTTAAGTGTTCTGAGGCAAGACACTTTACTCTCCCAGTACCTCACTTTACCCGGGTGTTTTAATGGGTGCCAACAAATTTGATGCTGGGGGATAACCCTGCAACAGACTAGCATCCCATGGGGGGGGGGGGTTGGAAATATTCCTAGTCGCTTCATGCTATGGAAACCAGTGTTAAGCACCAGCCTGATGGACCACTTGGCTGGTAAACAGACTTATCTTTACTTTGTTGTTGAGAATTGGTTAAAATTTGTTTTTCTATAGGGAGTGTGAGGGTGAAATAGGGTCGATTGATAAAAGCTGATACACTGATACTAAATTAAATGTTTTAACAGTTATTAACTACATCTCAAACATAATTTATTGCAAATTAGGGCTGTCTATTTTAAAATTCATCATCATGTTTTTGATCAGGTTTTTTTGGGATGTTTTATAATCAGCATTTCTTTTTAGCACCCATTTCACAGAAGCAACTCAATCTCTTTTGTTTTGTTTGTAGAAAGAAAAAAAGAGAATGCCTCAAGGCATGGTAAAACGCCTCCCCCACCCCCTGCAGTGGGGGGAAATGTTGACATCGGAAAGAGGAGTTCTTTACAGGCCAATGGTAAGACTAAACAAGTTCCCATCTGCTCTGTACCTTAACCTATTGACGTCCAGTGCGCCCATATGCGCCGATGTGGAACCACACCCTTTCTATGCCTTGTGACGTCATCACTTTTAACCTTGGAGCACGACTTTGAGCACGTACTTCAACAGGTTAAAAATATCTTACAAACGATACCAGAATGAGCACAATTGAGTGAAGGAGGTTGGAGAAATAGCCAAAAAAACATGTAACTTTGACCTGAAAATCTGCACGAAAATCTTTTTCCATTACCCACCTACCTTTCTGAGCATGTGGTTTAAAAATAATGAGTAGTTTCCTTAAAAAATCTCTACACCAAAATGAAACCTACTAAATTTCCTGCAAGTGAGGAGAAACTTCAGGCAAGGAGAGGGGAAAAAAGGGCAGGAGAAAGAGAGAAAAGTAAAAGTTGTAAGTGGGGCATTACTTTTCAACCCAAAAATCTCGAAATTTTGCTTTCTGCGCGTGCCTGAGGTTTTCAGGCCGCCATTTTGCATTTGGATCAAAGGGCCATCGAGTGTACAAGCTGTCAATGGGTTTGTGGTAAGTTTAAGGGTTTAAAACCACAACAGTGACCCGAAATCTGCTCGACTAGCTTCAAAACACAGTTTTTCACAAAAGCCGCGGCTATTAATGGGTTAAAGCACTTACTATACAACACTTCCACCTATCTTGGTCCTGCTGATTTAAGAATCTTTCTTCCACTCCTCTCCACTTTGATATCTTGTGCCGATGGTGGGGAATTAGAAAAATAGGAGACGTAAATGATTGGCACTTATAATAATTTGTACATGACAGCGTCAGTTGGTTTCCTAATGTCAGTATCACTACATAAGATTGCTTCACTTCACTGTGACTGGTCCAGAAAACTCGTGTTTCCTCTCCAACCATTCTCATTCAAAATGAAAAAACCAAATGTATTATTAGGTTACTTAGTATGTTTTCCCATGCTTCAGAGAGGTTACTTCAAGCTGTAAGATTTCACAGTGATGATTGTTTACTGTTCTAAGTCATTCACTGTGTTCTCAAAATAATAGAACCAAAAGATAGTTTTCCATTAACATATTCACTCTTGCCAATTCAAATTCAAGTGAAAGTTGTTTTTCTTGCTCAGTTTGATAAGATGTTCTTGACAAGTAGTAGTGCAGTTCTTTAGTTTTCTATGGGCTGCTAGTTTGGCTGATTATCTTTCCTTGTCCAACATCTTGTATAGTTCCCAATATGCACTGTACATTACTAGAGGGGGTTGGCCAGTGTTCAACAATTGTCATGGCTTGTTTGAAGAGTATACAAGTTCTATTTTGATGTCTTTTTAAGAAACATTGAACATTCCTTTTTTTATTAAGCAGAGATATTAAAAACAGTTTCCCATGAATTTTTGCAAAACCAAAACATTGTTACAGATGGGTTCCTATGGCCTCTGGGAAAGGAACCAAAAAATTGTTATCCATGGGATTTGAAAACCTAAGGTTTGTTACTTATTCTTAGTTAGAGTGTTCATCGACACCATAGCTAATGCAACAGATATTTTCCTCCAGTATGGTTTGCTGCTGAAATTACCTTCAATTGGTTTTGGTTTAACTAATTGTAGGACACGCAATAGAATTGTGCCCTTGAAACTTTTAATTGTTGTGCTGGACCTCTATCTCGGCTAATACAATTTGTTCTGGTATCTTTTTTGTCCAAAGATAACTTTAGCAATATGAGTCATTCACCATCACAGACAAGTCTTTCATCGGTGGATGGCCCCTCTCTGTCTCGGAAAAAGAGCAAAGATAGAAAAGAAAGCAAAAGCA